AATGCTCTACTTCAGCCTTTTAAACTGGTTGTAAGTACTTCTGTTGATGACTTAAAAAAACTTTGATTAATTTTTTTAAATTAAATGCTTTTAGGATTTGTAACTTTTTTTTTTTTTTTTTATTTATGATAGTCACACACAGAGAGAGAGAGAGGCAGAGACATAGGCAGAGGGAGAAGCAGGCTCCATGCACCGGGAGCCCGATGTGGGATTTGATCCTGGGTCTCCAGGATCGCGCCCTGGGCCAAAGGCAGGCGCCAAACCGCTGCGCCACCTAGGGATCCCCGGGATTTGTAACTTTTTAATGGAATCAAAGATGGAATTTAGACACTGTATTTGAGTTGTTCTTCATGTCTTCAAGGTCTTGGCATTTCAAAGTTAGTCGGATGGTGGCTAATTGGGAGGCAGGAGGGAGGAGATGCCATTAACCTATCAAATGGTACATTTTGGGTTACAGATTTTCAAAACTTCAGAAGTTAACATCAAAACTTTATTAGCAACTTTCAAGGGGTGATATTAGTGAAAGCCTTTTCCGTGAGCAATATAGACTTAGGGCAAAATTAATAAAGGTTTAAGTCAAAGCCAATACTCTTCACTAAAGTTTTTTTTTAACAATAAATGTCATCATTTAATATTTCTTAAAAGACAAAATTAAGAAAACAGTGCACCTACAGATATTGTAATAAGAATTTCTTAAACTGAGGTGTGACATTTTATCAAAAACATTTAATTTTTACTTGGAAGATGGCTTAGAGAAAGAAATCATAAATGCTTTTTGAGACGCCTGGGTGGCTTAGCGGTTTGGCGCCTGCCTTCGGCCCAGGGCGTGATCCTGGAGACCCGGGATCGAGTCCCACGTCAGGCTCCCTGCATGGAGCCTGCTTCTCTCTCTCTGCCTCTCTGCCTATGTCTCTGCCTCTCACTCTGTATCTTTAATTAATAAATAAATAAAATCTTTTTAAAAAATGCTTTTCATATTGCTGAGTTAAAATCAGGCTGCTTCATTAAAAAATTGTATTTCTTTGTTATATAAAAGCATAATTTGTTATATTAATCTGTGAGTGACTTGATTACTAATTTGAATCCTAAGAAAATAATCTACAGAATATTTATTAAAGAACAAAGTAAATACAAAGCAAATGCTTTTTGTTAGAGATAAATGTACAAAATGAAAATTGTAGAGGCAGTAACTTGAGGAGGATGAGACCCTGCTCCCTGATTAATCTTTTGGCAGTCTGTCTTCTTGTCAACCTAAACACATTGCTTGCTTAATATTAGGAACTGGTTCATTTCTCCTTCTTATGGTTCTACTCAGAGAGCAAGAGGGAGTTTGTGTAATCTCCTTTTGACATTTCACTTTGAGGCCTACTATTGTAGGCCCTATGCTTTTTTTTCAATAGTTTATATGTATATATATTTATTTAGTCATGGGAAATTGCACACATATGTAATACCAATGTAGGAAACAGATAAGAAAGTTCTGTCACCACTTAGGAGAGAGCAGTAGGAGGTAATTGTCAGACTAACCGTAAATGTCACCCAGGGAGTAGGCTCCCATCATGGCAAGATAATTTACAGAGAAAAAAGATAATTCTACTTACTCACAAAGTGACAATACTGAAGCTGATACAAATGTGTAAGATTCGTATTTCTATAACTTACTTGGGATAAATTTTTGAAAAGAATGCTATTTTAATACACAAATTTCTCCAAATTTTAGTGTCGTTTGAATTGAGGCAGACAATTACATATGCAAAAGCTGTTTTCACAGGGACATCTGTACTTATGTATGACCTTTCTAAAGTAAGATGTTGGGTTGAAGCAGACAGCTTCATTGATATTACTATAAGGCAAGTTTTTCTTTTTTTACTTTCCTTTCTTCTTCTTTCCTTCTCTCCTTTTTCCTTCCTTTCTTCCCTTCTTCTTTCCCTTTATCACTTCTCATCTAAAGCTATTTAGGAAAGACACAGAAATCAGTATGTAATTATCTTCCGACAGTGGAGATATTTTATCACTTTCAGGGAGTCTAAATGAGATATTGAATGGATATCTTTTCTGTTTTTAAAGATTTTATTATTTATTCATAAGAGACAGAGAGAGAGAGAGAGAGAGAGAGAGAGAGAGAGGCAGAGACACAGGCAGAGGGAGAAGCAGGCTCCATGCAGGGAGCCTGACATGGGACTTGATCCTGGGTCTCCAGAATCATGCCCTGGGCTGAAGGCGGCTGCTAAACCGCTGAGCCACCCAGGCTGCCCATCTTTTTTGTTTTAAAGTGTGTGTGTGTGTGTGTGTGTGTGTGTGTGTGAGAGAGAGAGAGAGAGAGAGAGAGAGAGAGAGAGATAGTTCCTCTTGCATAGAAGAAGAAGTCTGGATTGGAAAAATGTATATATTTACAGCTCACCTTTTATCTGATGGGCTTTCACATCTGCTTCACAGGATGTTGTCAAAAAAGATTTTGTGCAATTTATAGAAACACTATGATGGTATAGCTTGTATAATTCAACAGAACTTTGATAAACTCTAGGTTTAAAAGGAGGGGATTTGAAGGTAGGTTTGGAGAATGAGAAAAAAATGATAGTCTTTTTGACAAGTAGCCAAATATTTGATTCATTATGTTTTTGGATTCCAACAAGTTTTGATCAACTTGCCCCAGAAAATCCAGTAGGAAATTGGATGTCAGCTAGGGTGGAAATTGAAGGTTCGATATGCCATTTTTGACTTGTCGTGCCCATGTGGAAGGTGAGACGATGCGAGGCAAATATTTGCTTATTGCACTGAAAGGAAATAAAAAATAAAAAATGCATTACAAATGAGCCAGTTGGGTGACCTAATATTGTTTGATTAGATGTAATTTCCCTTTGATTCTTTCACCACCTATATATACTCTTTTGCATTTGGCAGTGAAAACTGTTAGGAAGTCTGTAAGTAGCTTAATGTTTGGCTCTTATGTTCCTTGGGGATGTGGTTTAGTACCTGTCTTCTTTCATGGAGCTGTGTGTTGTTGGCATACCCTAAAGACCAAAAATACTTGATTTTCTCTTTTTCTTCAGAGGCACACTTCTGGAATTGTGTTAATTGTCCAGTGTTTTAAGGTAAAGGGGATTAAGTATAAGGCTACTCTAAGAGAATTTAACATTTTGCATGTTCATTTCTATGGTAGTTGAAATACATTAGTAGAAGCATAATCAGAAAAGGTTTTATGTCAGACTCTTCCAGGCAATTTAAGATGTTTGTCGTTGTGATCATGATTCATTTTTGGCACCAAGTATTATTCTTCCTATCACCAGTGAGTGGTAGGACAGACTGACTAAATGTTTTATTTATTTATTTATTTATTTATTTATTTATTTTTAATTTATTAGAGAGAGCACAAGCAAGAGTGTGAGAAAATATATTTAAAATAAAATAAATTTTATTTGTTTGAGAGAGAGGACACTTAACCTTAACTGAGCCACCCAGGTGTCCCATGAGTAAATGTTTAAATCATGTGTTTGGACCCCACATAAATCAACAGTTGTATTCCTGGGAATTTTACTGTAGTTAAATAGTCAAAAGGAGAGTTAAGTCATCCCAAGACACTTGTTAGTCTAGACATGCTAAACTGAAAAAGAATCAAAACTACAGCAACCAGTACCATATTTACAATGTAAGGACTAATAGAGTTTCACCAAAACATCATCACTTTATATTAAAGTAATATATTCATTTGGGGATGCCTGGGTGGCTCAGTGGTTAAGTGTCTGCCTTCAGCTTGGGGTGTGATCCTGGAGTCCTGGGATCAAGTCCCCCATCGGGCTCCCTGCATGGAGCCTGCTTCTCCCTCTGCCTGTGTCTCGGCCTGTCTCTCTGTGTCGCTCATGAATAAATTAATAAAGTCTTTATTAAAAAAAATCATTCATTTGAATCTTACTGGCTTTATATTTTACTTTGTATGTATGTTAGGCTTCTATAGTTATCTATATATATAACTATATATATAGTTATATATAGTTATATGTATAGTTATATAAAACTCTTAGTATAAGGAAAGTCACTCCTAGTTTTATGTGAGTGCCTATAAATATGTGACCTTTAGGAGGATTTTTGTCCTTGAACGATGTCAAATGAGCATTATCTGAAGTAGTAAAAACAGTGTGTATTCAGTAACTGGCAGTTAGGGAAAGAGCTGTACTATGTATTATGTGTAGAATGTTATAACATATGTTATATGTCAAAAAGAGCTCTTCCTGGTTGTGCACACATTCTGATAAGTGCATAGGTGACTGGAACATGAAAAGGGAGGGGCACCTAGGTGGCTCTGTGGTTAAGCGTCTGCCTTCAGCTCAGGTCATGGTCCCAATCCTGGGATTGAGCCCCGCATCAAGCTCCCTACTCAGTGGGGCACCTGTTTCTCCCTCTCCCTCTGCCTCTATCCCTGCTTGTGCTCTCTCTCTCTCTCTGTCAAATAAATAAATAAAATCTTAAAGATTTTAAAGAAAAGAAGAGGGAGACTGGAAGAAGGGGGAAAACAGTGGCAGCCTGAACAGAGTCAGGGAAGGGGAAATTACAAAAAGCAGGAAGGGGGTTGGTTCATGTGTATCAGGGCTTGCTAACTGGCATTAATTACAGTTAGGCCCGTGCCCTTCCAGGGACCCCAGGAGACAGATGTGGGCTAGGACAGACAGTAAATTCTTTTGGCAGTAAGTTTTCTCAGGCAGGCACTTTAAGGGAGACTAGTGCCATCCTGGCGATGTGACCTTGAGCTATTGGAAGTGTGTGAGTCTTTGGTTCAAGTCTTTATAAGCCAAGGTCGAGGCTTGGTTGAGACTAAGGCTCAGAGAAGCCTCGCTAGAGGCTGGTCAAAAAAGAGACTTTGGAACTCAGTGGTAGCTCCAGAGTGGCAGTAAGCCCCCACTTTCTTGTGATAAAGTCACTGCTGTATGTTAACTGTTGTAGAGAGAGCTTGATTTTAAAATCTTAACTGAAAGAAAAATATGAAAAATTATGCTGTTGTGTTTCAGGGTCGGGATCTGGACTGTAAAATTCAGGAATATAAAGAAGCTGGCAAAACCTTTCCAGAAAGTCAAATAATAGAATGGTTTATCCAGCTATTGCTAGGAGTTGACTACATACATGAAAGGTATGTTCATTTGTTACTGATGGACATGATTTTAAGTCACGTTTGAACTTGACAAATGAATTTTTGGGGGTAGAATTGAAAAGATGCAAGTCTAAAGGTAAATGACCCAGTAATTAAACATCTATAATACACTTTTCCATGAGAAAACTGTTGAATGATTCAATATAGAAGATTTACTTGAATAGCCTTTTTTTTGTTGTTGTTCTAGAAATCAAGTTGGCCTTGAATACAAGGCAGAAACTTGTATTAAACACATTCTCATATATCTGATGATATCCTGTGATTGTAAGCAATTCTCAGATACTTTTAGCATACTATGAATTTATTATATCTTAGAATAAGCTTGAGCTATAAATATCTAGCATACTCTAAATGAATTGCATGGTCACTCTAGAATGTGTCATTGCAGAAGTTAGCTGCGTTCACATTCCAAACTAAGTGATGAGGCAGAAGATACTCTTGGGCTTCAGAGAGACACTCAGACTAAAAGTCAGTTTTGACATGAAATATCTAATACTGAAGGTCAAAGTATGTTTTATGAGTTCAATTGTAGTTTGCAATTATAATCTCTGTCTTAAAAATATTTTTTTAAACTTTTAATTGTATTCCCCATAGGTTAAAAGTAATAGTTTTTGCATGTTTTAGAGACCCATAAAATGGTACAACTATGTTTGAAAAGATGAACATACAGAAACAAAAGTAGATACCATGAAATGTCCATAGTACATCTTTCAATTTAGGACTGTGCGGAACATTCTTCTTGAACAAAGGTTGAAATTTAGAGAGTACATCAAGGTCTGGCTATCTATGGATTTCAGATAGTTCAAATATGTTGCCTATGGTTTCTGAATGCATAAAAAGTAACCAGATTATACTGAGCTTTGCATGTATCTTCTAAACACATGTTGGATAATACAAATAGGCACTGATTTATTGACAACTCATAACAATCTTTTGAATTTTGTCAAATTATCCTAAGAAACGGTGATAAAAGTATATCAAGTAACCTTTTAATAAACTATGCAGAGCTGCTGAATGTAGGGCATATGTATATACAGTTACACTGGAATTTCTTTTATTTTCTTTACTATTCCATGGCCTATTTGTAAGCTTATACATAAGGAAATATGTATATGTTACATATATATATGTCACTTTTATATATAAAGTGACAACTTCTGTGTTCTATATGCAAAATATAAAACTGAAATCTAGTTGATTTAGGAACGAAATATTTGCAATACTTTTGGTGTGCTTAATAGTTGAAGTAATGAGTTTAAAGTAATCCTTCAAAGAGAGGATTCAAATTTTTTTTAATCCTTCGACATTTTAAGAAAGTCATTAAATGGGCCTAAATGTTTGAATATTTGTGTGTCTGTGTTCCTGCAATTCTGTCCTTTGTGATTCAGGTAATAAATGATTGCTTATTTATTATGTTATTATAACCAATTATTATAAAGGTTTTCTGTATAGACAGAGAAATTTCAATCATATTTAAGTTCATTTATTCATTTATTAAATAGAGATAAATTAAAAATAAGGCCTAACATTAAAGAGCTATTAGTAAACTAGCAGAGATTAAAAAAAATGTACCCAAATAACTCTGTAACATGATGGATATACCAACTGCAGAATCTCTGCCACATACTGTATTATATAGCCCTGGGCAGGCCCTTTGCCTCTCTGAGCCTTTGTTTTCTCATTTGTAAAATAGGGTTAATAGTGGGACTCTCCTGCTTACGTATAGGACTATAGGGAATATGCATTGAGATGTTATACATGTAAAAACTTTGCAGTCTGCTAAGAGCTCTGTAAGTGTTGTTGCTTGGGGTTATAACTTAATATAGAAATGAAAGCATAGCCACCAAAAGGGCAAAAAAACAAAGCAAAAGAAAACTCTGACAATAACAGTTCTGACAAGGATGTGGAGCTACTGGAGGTTACATTGCTGGTATAATCACTTTAGAAAAATGTTTGGTAGTACTTCCAAACCTAAACATTCAAATACCTTGTGACCCGCTAATTCTCTTCTTAAGGTGAAAAATGAGTCCCTATGTCAAAAAAGAGACATGTACAAAATGTCCGTAGAAGCCTTATTTGTATTAGCTAAAACACTGAGAAATGTCAATTTTTAGTAGAATGGTTAAATAAACTGTGGTATAATCTTAAAATGGAATACTACTCTGCAATAAAAGAAGAAGATAAATTGATACGTATGACTAGATGAATTTCAAAGACATGATGGGTGAAAGAAGCTAGATGCAAAAGAGTGCATACTATGTGATTCCATATGAGGTTTAAAAACCTTTATATGAGGTTCAAAACAAGCAAAACTAATCTGAGATTAACTAACACAATCTCAGGATAGAGATTACCCTTTGAAGGGGATTTTGACTGGAAGGGGGCACAAAGAAACTTCTGGGATGCTGGAAGTCTTCTTTATCTTGACCTGAGTGGATGATTACAAGGATGATAAATTCATCAAGCTTAAGATTTATGTATTTTAATGCAAATTATACTTTAATTAAAACAAATTATAAGAATGGCAAGAAAAGTACACTTTAAGTGCTATAGGAGACCAAGAAAAGGGATAATGATGCTACTTGGGAGCATCAATGAAGATCTTGGAAGAAATGACATTTGACCCAAAGTAGATTTTGAATAAGGTAAAAGATGAGTCTGAACTTCCCAGGATTAGTGAACAGAGTTAGCAAAGGCACAGAGCTCTGGGAAGTCATGGCACCTTCAGAGTGATAGATGAGTAGTTCAGTTGGAATGGCTCCTAGGGTACATGAATGAAGTTGTGAGGAAAGATATGTTGACATCAAGTTGCAGAGGGCTTTATTTTGTAGTATACACAATAATGACAGAAACCTTTTGAGTGGAACTATGATCAGAATTTCAGGAAGACTGGATGATAAATTATAGAGAGGAAAGAGAGGAACTCGGGATATTTGTCTGAAACCTTTTATAATATCCATACATGAGGTTGTAGGACCTGAAATAATATGACAGTAGTGGGCAGGACATGGATATGACAGTTAACTTGATAAGTTCAAATAACTGGAGTTGGATATGTGAGATGTGATAAAAGAAGGTCAAGGATGAACACAAATTTCATTATCCATGGGTGAGAAATTGAAAAGATAGATTTGAAGCAATGCTGAATATCCTGGGTGAAATATGGAGAGAATGAGACAAGAAAGGGTGGGGGAAGGGAGAGAGAGGGGGTGAGGATGGCAGGGAGGGAGGGAGAGAAAAGGAAAGAGAAGGAGAGAGAAGAAAAGAAGGGAGGGAAGGAGGAAGGTAAGGGAAGAAGGAAGGAAGGAAGGAAGGAAGGAAGGAAGGAAGGAAGGAAGGAAGGAAGGAAGGAAGTTAGTTAGTACAAGTGAGGCCCTAGATGTTGGGAAAACACCAAAACTTGTCTGTCTGAGTTCTTCCAATATTCGATCCTTGAAACAAAAACTGGGTTGTAAGAAGTTTAGGGGGCAATTTCATGAAACAGAAATCAGTGAGTGAGGAGAGTGAGTGAGATGGGGAAATGAGAAAAACCATATGGGGGCATATTATTGATGCTGTCAGAAGAGGGATCTAGAGCCAACTTTCTTTTAAATGTTTTAGGCTAGGGGCTCCTCTTTTTGCATTCTTTCAGAGCTTTTATGAAATTTCTTGACCATTTGTAACTATTTTCTAGCACAATTATGAATTTTCTTTTGAAAAATTCCTTATATTTCTGGGAGTTTTGGGTGGAAAGGGGAGGCGGTTATCACTATCTAGATCAATTCTCTAAACTAGTTTTTTGTGGGTTTTTTTGAGTTTAGCTGACACACAGTTTCAGGTGTACAACATAGTGATTCTACAAGTTTATGCATTGTACTCTGCTCACCACAAGCAATCTCCAGAACAGTTTTTAAATGGAGAAATGCTATATGTTATTCCTGATAATAAATATATCATATACTTTTCACTTCTGTTAGTTTTCAATATTTAATATATGTAGGTCTAATTATGTCTCCTACAGAAAATAAACTATCTCCTGGACAACCTAGGAGGAATGGATAGATTCCTAGAAACCTATAACCTACCAAAATGGAGGCAGGAAGAAATTGAAAATTTGAACAGACCGATTACCTATAAAGAAATTGAATCAGTAATCAAAAATCTCCCAACAAACAAAAGTCCAGGACCAGATAGCTTCATAGATAAATCTTAGCAGATATTTAAAATTCTTCTCAAACTTTTCCAAAAAATAGAAGAGGAAGGAAAATTTCCAAGTTGATTCTATTAGGCCAGCATTACCCTGATACCAAAACCAGATAAAAGACACAACAACAAAAAAAAGAGAACTACAGGCTAATATTTCTGATGAACATAAATACAGAAATCTTCAACAAAATGTTAGCAGACTGAATCCAACAATACATTAAAAAAAATCATTCACCATGATCAAGTGGCATTTATTCCTGGGTTGCAAAGGTGGTTCAGTATTCAAAAATCAATCAACATGATACCTCACATCAATAAGAGAAAGGATAAAAACCGTATGGTCATTTCAATAGATGGAGAAAAAGCATTTGACAAAGCGCAACATCCATTCATGGTAAAAACCCTTAAGTAGGTTTAAAGGGAACATATCTCAACATAATAAGGGCCTTAACTGAAAGACTCACAGCTAACATCATACTCAGTGGTGAAAAACTGAGAGCTTTTCCCCTAAGGTCAGGCACAACACAAGGATGTCTACCCTCACCACCTTTTTAAAAAGGGATTTTATTTATTTATTTATTTATTTATTTATTTATTTATTTATTTATTTATTTATTTTAGAGAGAGGGAGAGCATGAGTAGAAGGAAAGAATCTCAAGGAGTCTCCACGCTGAGCATGGAACCCGATGTTCTATGCTCAATCTCATGACCCTGAGGTTGAGACATGAGCTGAAACCCAAGAATGTATGCTTAACTGACTGAGCCTCCCTGGCTCCCCTCCCCCCACTTCACCA